TAATTACTCAAAAACTAGCCTGAAGGCTCTCTTGGAAATCAGTGTTTCCTCTCTTGCTTAATTGTGAAAGCATTTACTCTTTACTGAAAACTAGCTCAAAGGCTCTTTTGGAAATATCAATTTCCTTTCTTGTTTAAATGTGAAAACATTTTACTCTTTGGGAATACATAGTCCCGATATACTCTTTTGAAGAAATGAACTTCAATCTTTACTCTTTACTCAACTCAAAACTCGGGTCTTAAAACAAAGTTAAAACATTTGTAAAAGACTTTTGGAAGACTCTATGAACTTCTCTTGACTTGGCTTTTAACTTTCCTTGAATTTGAATTTATGGATTCAAGGATTGTGATAGGAAAGATATCATGATGTTTAGGAGTGTTTTTAGATAGTTAAACATGAGAAACGATCAAGAAATCACTGTGTGGAAGCAAGTCCGCGATGTGGAGATGCATTTATATGTTTGGTCGCGAAATAAATTTTGAGGCAGAACGTTCCGTGACCACTGCACGACTTAGAGAACAATTTTGGGAAAAGGTGGGGCAGGTCCGAGACGCGGTTTGGGGCACCAGATTTGCCTGACTTTTTACTTCTTCGTTTTCTAACCCCAATTCGCCTAAACTTGGTCCTTTTTCTCAAATTCTCTTTAGATTCAGATACCCAGTGTATGTACAAAAGAATCTAGCTCAAAACAACTCTAACAATCGACCTTAAACTCTCAAGAACTCGTAAATCTCATCCCAAATTCAAGAACGAAAGCAATTCAAGAACACAACTCAAGAACATCAAAGTCTCAATATTTTAGGATGAAAATCATACTGAAATAAACTTGTTTGGCGCATGGTTGAACGAACCCAACTCTATGTGAACTCACATACCTTGTAGGATTGAATCCTTGGTGAAATCCGCACTCAATTCCTCAAGAAATCAACGAATCCTTGCTTCTTCTCCTTTTTTCTCCTCTTCTTTTCTCTTCTCTCAAACCCTAACTCTTTTTGATAAAGCGTAAACTGAAACAAATCAGTTTAGACCCCAACTTAAATACCAAAATCGAAATTAAGTAATTGTGTAGAGAAAAGACCACAATACCCTTCTAAAATCCGATTTTGACTTTTCTTATCTAGACAGCCCAACTACAAATGGGCATATCTCTCTCATACGAACTCGAAACTGAGCAAACTCGGCGGAGTTAGAAATATAATTCAAAGATCGTTCCTACAGTATCTTGTAGTACAGCTAAATCATCCTGAGCTAGGAGTTATGGTCATTTGAAGTTGACCCAAAACTCATATATAACTTAACTTTGTCAAACTTTCCAAATTTGATTATTTCCATAAACGGTTTCTTTCTAATTCCAATTCTTTCTAGTAGCGGGGTCTTACAATATCTCCCCCTTGGGAACATTCATCCCCAAATGAGATTAATCTTAGCAGGCTAAGGGTGTAAAAGCTAACATCTAGATCAAACACCCAACAAGGAAAATGTAAATATAACAGGCCAATTTAAAATAAATGCCAAGAAAAAGATTAGTACTTTAATTTGGAACTCCTCCGGATTCGAAGAGATATGGGTATCTCTTCTACATATCTTCCTCAGCTTCCCAAGTAGCTTCCTCAACAAACTGATTTCTCCAAAAAAATTTGACTAATGCTACTTCCTTAGTCCTCAACTTGCGAACCTGGCGGTCTAGAATCTGAACAGGAATCTCCTCATAAGACAATTTGTCCTTAATACCAATATCATCAGTTGGTATGATCAATGAAGGATCGCCTATTCATTTTTTAAGCATATAAATATGGAATATTGGATGAACTGTTGCTAAATCTTGTGGTAGCTCTAACTCATAAGATACGTTGCCAATCCTCTTGGATATTCTATAAGGACCAATATACCGGGAACTAAGTTTCCCTTTCTTACCAAATCTCATAACACCCTTCATGGGTGAAACTTTCAAGTAAACCAAATCATCTACTTCAAACTCTAAGTCCCTTCTCCTAACATCTGTGTAGGATTTTTAACGACTCTGCGCTATTTTCAACCTTTCTTGAATCACGATACATCTTTGTGGAACCCGGATAGATTAAATATCTGGAGCTATGAGCTTCCTCCATAATCCTTTCTTGAAGTTCATCCACCCTTGGTACACACAATCTACCTTGATACCTCAATACAACATATCCCCCTTGTTCAAAAGCCATTACTTTTTTCTTATGAACATTTGCCTTCAATTCAAGCAAAATAGGATCTTGTTCTTGTTTCTTTTTCACTTCTACCACTAATGATGATTCATCCCCATTCATCACCACTTCTCCTCCTTCTGTGGAATCAATTAGTCGAACTCCTAATCGTGCAAGTCTATCCACATTATTTTGCTAACTCTTTCTTATCTTCCTCAAAATGGGTGGTACTACCCGTAGACAATCTACTCAAGGCATCAGCAACAACATTAGCCTTACCTGGGTGATAAAGAATACTCATGTCATAATCCTTAAGTAACTCTAACCACCTTCGATGTCTGAGATTAATCTCTTTCTGACTAAACACATATTGGAGACTCTTGTGATCGGTGAACACATCCACATGAATACCATACATATAATGATGCCATATTTTCAAGCAAATACTACGGCAGCCAACTCTAGATCATGGGTTGGGTAGTTCCTCTCGTGAACCATAAGTTGTTAAGAGGCATAAGCTACAACTTTGTCATGCTGCATTAACACACAACCCAAACCAACTCTGGATGCATCACAATATACCACAAAACCATGTGTACCTTCTGGTAAGGGCAACACTGGGGCAGTAGTCAACCGTTTTTTCAATTCCTGAAAGCTCTTCTCACAAGCTTCAGACCATTGAAACTTAATTGTCTTCTAAGTCAACTAAGTCAAAGGGGATGAAATAGATGATAACCCCTCTACAAACCTTCTATAATGTCTTTCAACTGCTCTTTCAACTCTGCTGGTGCCATCCTATATGGCGGAATAGATATAAGACAAGTATCGAGAAGAATATCTATATCAAAGTATATTTCTCTCTCAAGAGGGACTCCGGGAAGATCATCTGGAAACTCTTTTACTACTGGAACTAACTGAATAAGAGGTATCTCAACACTAAAGTCATTAACTCGAACTAAGTAATAGATACACCCTTTGGAAACTAACTTTCTTACCTTAAGGTATGAAATAAAATTACCCTTAGGCACTACTAAACTGCTCTTCCAGTTTATAACTGGTTCACGGGGAAACTGAAACTTGACTACTCGAGTTCTATAATCTATTGATGCATAATAGGCATGAAGCTAGTCCATACCTAAAATGACATCAAAATCTACCATATCTAACTCAACTAAGTCAGCAATGGTACTCTTGTGATTGACGGAAATTGTACAATCACGATAGACTCTCTCAACTAAAATAACTCACCAGCAGGTGTAGAAACACTGAAGGGCTCAAGAAGTTGCTCAGGAAGAACATCAAAATTCACCGCAACATATGGAGTTACAAAAGATAAACTCACTCCTGGATATAGTAAAGCATAAACATCAAATTTAAAGACTTGAATCATATCAGTGACAACATCTGGAGAATCCTCTTGCTCTTGGTGACTAGTGATGGCATAAATACAGTTTGATCCTCCTCTGCCTGCCCCTCTAGATGCAGCTCTGTCTGGCTAAGCAACTGAAGAAGACTGGGTTATATTGCCCCTATTACCACTACCCTGCTTGTTGTTAAGATACTCTCTTATAAAATGACCGTCTTGACCACACTTGAAGCAACCAGTGGAGCCATCACGACACATCCCTGAGTGGCTCCTACTACACTTAGCACATGCAGGAGGCTTACTACCCCCTTTTGCCATACTACCTTAAGAATGGGCAGGTTTAGATTTGAAATTCTGACTATTGTACTCACTTTTGTTCTTTGGTGCAGGAGCACTAGCAGATGATGGAGCAGGTCCATTTTGTTTCTGTTAGAAGGAAGACCAGTTCGCATTACTCTTTTATTGTCCGGAATCATTCCCTGATGTCTTATCCCTCTTATTCTTAAACTCTTCTCTATCCCTCAGCTTGTCCTCCTCAACTTGTTGCACATGGATCATTAGCCTTGCTATGTCCATATCCCATATAGCATAGTTGCCTTGCCTTCCTTGCTTAACAGGCGAGACAACCCAGGAACAAATAAATTCATCCTGCTCCTCATGTCAGCAACCATCTTCGGAGCATACCGAGAAAGTTGTGTGAACTTCAGGTTGTATTCATGAACACTCATATGTAACTACATGCAAGCAATAAACCCAGATGCCATAAATTTTGACTTTTAAAGATAGAAATATTTACCTGATAAACTCTATTCCAAAAAAATCCTTTAATTGTGATGAAGCTTTAAGAAATCATCTTCTAAATTGAAGCATCTTGTTCTGTCATTGGTGAAAAATTAGAAAATCATTAGGAATTTTCGTATGTCAAAGATGAAAGAATGAAATTTTGAAACCATTCTTCAATTTGCTTTGAGAAAAATATGTACTTTATGTATTGATGAAGAAATACCTTTTAATTTTGAAACCACTCTTCAATTATTCAATTTGCTTGGTGAAAAATTTCAGATTTGGAGCTAAGGCGTTATTCTTCTTCAAGAAATTGGGATTTTTTTCTGATTTGGGCAAAGCTTTACCCAAGTGTTGAAAGGCTATGTTTTATGACTTCAATTTTTTTTCCCGAATAAAAATTGGAGCGGGATGACTTGAAAATGTTGGAGGAAATATATTATTTTAGTGAAAACTTTTAATGCCAAACTTCTAATGTGTTATTTTTACAATTATAAAAATAGCACACTTTAAAGGTGTGGCCATATATGCAAATAGTTGTTGCCGATTATATCATAGTGTAACAACGCTTATAAAGTGTAGCCTATACCATTAAAGAGTACGCTTTACAAGTGTTGCCAATATTATCGAAGCCAAAAGTTAAAAACTTGGGCAACACTTTACAAGCGTTGTCTAGATTTAGTGTGGCCGTAAGCCGAAAATGTTGTAGTGATCATTTATTTATACATAAATTTTACAATAAGAAGTGAAAGTAACCAATGTAAATTCTGGCTTGATAGGATCCCAAGAAAGTGGTACTAATAAAGATGGAGAGGAAATCTTGGTTCCACGATCATAGATATCGGTTTTTCTGGGTGTGTAGTCAATCCATATATCTCTTTCATGCTTATTTCTTCTGGATTTATGTCACCTGTTAATCTCCAATGGAATCCATGCAACAAGTTAGCCAAGGTTGTCCCCACAAGCTTGATCCCTAAGTTGTACCCAGGGCACCTCCTTCTTCCGGAACCAAATGGCAACATTGTGAAGTTTTTTCCCTTTATGTTAATGTCATTTTCTAAGAATCTTTCGGGAATAAACTCTTGTGGCCTATCCCAGTAATTAGGATTTCTTCCTAAGGACCATATGTTTACAAATACCATTGTCCCTTTTGGTATGTCATAACCAACAACATTGCATTCTTCTATGGAGTAATGCGGAGGGATTAACGGAGTTAACGGATGCAGCCTATATGTCTCTTTGATTATAGCTTCTATATAAGGTAGTTGGGATAAGTCCTCCTCTTCTACCCATCTTCCTTTACCTATTGTTCTATCAAGTTCTTCATGTGCCTTTTCTATCATATTCGGGTTCCTCACGAGTTCTTGAAATGCCCATTCAACTGTTGTTGCTGATGTATCCGTTCCACCGGCCAACAAATCCTGCACAATTTTAATACTAAAAATAAATTCATTCAAGTTTTTATTAAAGAGTTTATATTCTGAAATTGAAAAAATAAAACTCGATCCACCTATATATAAGTATGCAGTTTTACCTTCTTTTAAAATGGAAGGTCCGTTAACGGGCTCAATATTACAATTTACAATCTTAAATATATTAGCGGTTCCAATGTATTATAAGTATTTAATTAGTTTTTTGAAAAGAAAATTTGTCATCAATATTTTTTCTAATAAAAACGATAATAAAATGATAATAAAAATCACACTTTATAATAAAATATTATTATTATTATCAAATAATAGAATTTATTTAAATTGTCTTAATTAACACTACAATATCATATGATCCAATGGTTATTTTAACAGACTGCCAAACATACACATTCAAATTAAGAAGTTAATTTAAATTTAATGGTTTTTTTTACTCATCAAATGATAATAATTCAACAAACAATTTCAGTGAATTAATCTTATTTACTCATTTGTGTTCTACTTTTTCTTAACCACATTATCACTTTTCACATTAAATTATATCTTATTTCTTAAGATAATAAATATTATATTTGATTATTTATTTTTTATAAATATGAAAATAAATTAACACAAAGAAATAGATAATCTTTTTATTTCACTTTATTTATTTGAAAATCAACGACAGATTATAAAAATTACAAATATAACTTAAAGTTATATTTGAAATTTGAAAAACATTCAAAACTTTTTTAATACTTTAACTATATTTTTTTCAAATTTTATCCTAAATTATTATTGTTTATAAAAATGGCTCCATTTTAATTATATATCATATTTTATTTTATTTTTAGAAAAAACATATTCAAATAATCAAATATTATTTGCAAAATCAATAACTTAACACAAATTCAACTTAATTTTTTTTTAAAAATAAATTGGATTTTTTTTTGTAATAGTATGTAGTAGTTCTTATATGAGATATAATCTATGACATTATACGATTATTTATTTTGATATATGACTCTTTTAGTGCAATTTGGTTGTATGTCTCAAGTAAATTAGTCAAGTATTTTTTAGAAAATGAGGAATGTAGACCATACTTAAAAGATATAATATATAAATATGTCTTTTAACTTGACCTCACTTAACATCTATGACATTTAACTTCGAGTGTGCATATGTTAGCATTTAAACTTATATAAGTTGAACAAGTAGACACACGTGTCCTACGAGACATAATTCACGTAGGACGCCACATAGAATGTCGCATAGGACATGAATTGTATCGCCGCGTAGGATGTCAGGTAGGACACATGGTTAAATACATATTTTTAATTTGTATTATGCATTTTTGAAATATATTTACATTTTTTTATATAAAATTTGACCAAACACGACTTTAACTATACATTTTTTTAATAAAACAAAAACTATATTTTCATGACCGAACCACATTAAGAAAGGAAATGATTAAAAGGCCTCGAATTTAAATTTTAAATATGAGAAAAATCTCATTAAAAGTGATAAGTACATTCAAAAATAAATATGAATTCGAATGAATAACACTCTAATAGGTATATACAAAATCAAATGAGAAATTAATTATTATTTTTAAAGAAAATATGTGGTCAAGAATAATGTATAGACTTTTGAAGTGAATCAAAAAATAGGGTCCATGTTTTAACTTTGCATTGATTTCTTTTACTCCTCCCAATGTGTTGGTACACGTGTGACGATTGGAATCCACAACTTAATGGTGGATACATTGAGCATTACATAACTTTTGGCTGATTTTTCTGGAATGTTCAATACTCATGCACAATGTACACTTAAATTAAGCTTGTGATTTTATTAAATTGATAAAACTGTCATTGGTCGTCCAGGACTTCACATTTCTATATATATATATATATATATAAATAATAGAAAACTACTAAAAATTGGTCAACCCCTTTATTGAATAGTATTAATTAATTAATTAACTTTTGCACCATAAAAACTATTAATTATAGAAAAAGGATTAAAAATATCCCTCAATTATGTGAAAATGATCAAAAATGTCTTTAGTTAATAGTTTGATCTAAAAGTTCTTATGCTATCAAGAATTTTGTTTAAAAATTCCCTTATTATTATTTAATGTGTCAAAATTTTCATTTTCCTAATATATATATTACTATTTCTTTTCTTCTTAAACACATTTTATTCCTAATAACAATATTACTTTTAAAAGATCATATTCTTGTTTTTTTCCTTTTAAAATCACTTAGTAAATAAGTAGGAATAAATCAATTTTTCTTTCTTAATTTCATATTATCAATAAAAATAGAATAACTACATGTACCTTTTTAACCAATAATATATGACATATATATAAGATCATAGTAACCGTGTCATTAGTTTCATTTCGATAAACATAAAAAAAAAAATCTAAACAATAGAAAATAGTTGTATTTCTAAATCTTTTTTGACTTGAAGTATGAAAATAAACAAAATAATTATTAGTAATATTAGAATGTGTTTATGAAAAGAAATAAATAATATTTATTTAGAAAAAAAGAGTATTTTCAACTCATTAAGTAACAATAGAGACATGTTTTTACGAAACTATTGGCGACAAGAACATTTTTAGATCAAATTATTAGTTGAGAACATTTTTGTTCAATTTTGCATAGGGAAAATGCATAAGTACCCCTCCAGCCTATGCCCGAAATCCCAGAGACACACCTAACCTTTACTAAGGTCCTATTACCCCCCCCCCCCCCGAACTTAATTTATCTATAATATTCTACCCCTTTTCGGCCTACGTGACACTATCCTTAAAAAAATTGTCAACATGAGCTGGCCCCACAAGATAGTGTCACGTAGGCCAAAAAGGGGTAGAATATTACATATAAAATAAGTTTGGGGGGTAATAGAACCTTAGTAAAGGTTAGGTGTGTCACTGGAATTTCAGGCGTAGGCTGGGGTACTTATGCATTTTCCCATTTTGCATAATTCAAAAGCATTTTCATTAATGTAAAAGAAAACAAAAAAAGGGAGAAAACTTACAAGGATTAATCCCATTAGGTTATCGGTGGTAATCTTAACTTCAAGATTAGGGTCATCTACTAGTTGCAAAAAGACATCAACCATGTCCTTTGGAACAGAATCCTCCTTTCCTTTAGCCTTGTGATCTTCAAGTACATACTTAAAAAATTCTCTCAACTTTTTATCCAAAGCCTTCATTCTTTTGATGTACCCTTGCAAGTCAAGCCAATTAAGCCAAGGTATCCAATCCCCAATATTAATCACCCCACCAAGGATAAACCATTCATCTAACATACCTTGCAAATTTTCAATTGATTCATCCCTATGGTACGTGCTACTCATAACCATCCTACTTATAGTGCTAAGGGTAAATTCTGTCAAATGATCGCGGAGAAAAATTTGCTTTCCTGATAGAACATGAAGACGAGAAATCAGATTTCTCCTTTCCTCAACACGAATGTACTTAAACGATTCAAGCCTTTTAGGACTAAATATCTCGGTTTGGTAGATCTTTCTAGATTGACGCCAATGTGCACCATAAGGTGCCCATGACACATCTGAGTGGTTAAAGCTAATATACTTACCAGCAGTCAATGCAGGACGAGAAGTAAAGATAGCATCATGTGTTTTTAGAATCTCTTTAGCCATTTCTGGAGATGATGCTATGAGAACAGGCTTGGAACCGAACTTTAGGAGCATTAAATCTCCATATTTTTGTGAAAGATCGTGCAAAGACTCATGTGGGAGTGAACCAATAAGGTTCAAATTGCCAATAATTGGCCATGGCCTCGGACCTGGTGGTACATTTCTTTTAGGGCATAGAATATGGTTCATAACTTTAGAAATAACAGCTAATGCTAGTAGCCATGCCAACGCTATAAATGCTGACGAAAAAGAAATCTCCATTATTGTACAATGGACTATTGTGTGCACTTGAATATATAGCTAGCTAGCTAGCAACTGTCGGCACAAAAATCTTCATTTATTTACTCCTCACTCGCTCAGTTCTTTCTTAGTTGTCATATAAGAAAATTTTAATTCTTTATTAATTCTTTAATATTTATCTTTATATGTATCCAGAGGCGCGAAGCCAGGATTTCAGACCAGAAGGTTCTAAATTTTAAAATAGAGCAATGATCTTAACTTAAAGTAACCACCATCAAACTTTTTACATTTTTACTATAATCTTCAATATTGTTATAAGTGAGGTTAAAAAAATTTATTAAATTCACTATTAATATTTTGATACCTAAAATAAATTTACTAGTTTCACTATCACCTTGAACCATCACTCCAAGTATGCCATCAAAACTTAAAATTTTGAAAAGCAAACAACAATTATTTTAATATAATAAATTATCAATATGTGGGATAACCCTAAAATCAAAGATTAAAAATCAATTTTTGAATAGATAATCATACCGTGTCAAAGTAAACAAATAAGAAAAAAAATGAAAAGAGAAAGAAAGAGTACATACAGGAGCCCAGATTTTGGATGGTAGCAATCAAATCAATAATAAAAGTTAGAACCCTAACTTTTGAAAAAACAAATTGAGTTAAACTTTTCTGGATGTCTAAGTAGAAATCAATAGTCAGATATTGTTTTAGAGTACAACACAAATACTATTTTCCTATTTTTTACATTTACCAATTTTTTAATTAAAAATATATATTAAACCCACATATAATTTAGTTAATCCTTAATCCTTATTTTTCTTAAATTCTTTTTATATAAAACCATGTATGAAATTATCCCAAAAATAGAGTTTCGAACCCACGACCAGGGAGCCGAGCATTTTCGCTGGGTGCACAGACATCATTGGGCCAATCGTTTCACTTTGTTTGTGGGTTTGCTGGAAATGTATATATAGATTTAATTTCATATTTTTATATAAATATAGAGTCTATGAAAAAGCTAGGGGGTTCGCCCAAACCCCCTTCTGATACAGTAGCTCCGCCCCTGTTAATGTGCCTCTTAATTCTAGAATAATAAATGTTAATTGCAAAGTTGGACATTTTTTGTAAATTCTCTCTTGATTGTTTAAATCGACAACTATTTTAAAACACGTATTTTTAATATACATGACAACTAAAAAAAATGGAAAGAGTATTTAGTATCTACTAAAACTAGTAGGTTTTAAAGTTTGACAAGAGGGACCAGTAGGGATAGCAATGGGGCGGTGCGGGGCGGGTTGAGCTCAATTGCAGGCAGCCCTTTTTTGTTTTAGTTTTTCGTTTTAACTGCCGGCAACATTTTTTTTTAAAACTACAAGGCACATTCTCTTTTGTTTTTTGATTTTTTTTTTTTACTTGTTAACTTATTATTAAGTAGTAATCAATAATTGTTTTTTAACTAATTTAATTTAACTCTTTGACTTTTTTTTATTTGATTAAACATAAAATAAAAAAAAATCTTCACCATTGAAACCCTGGTTCTTCCTTTAAACTTTTGAACAACAAAAATCTGTCATTAATTAAAGCTTCAGCCTTCCGTCTGTCGCCCAATCCCGCTCTCCCATCCAGCCACAAGACGAATAATTCTATTTGAATCTAAAATTGATTTAATCGAGTCTACTGTGCATTAGAGATGAATCCAAAATTTGAAGATTTCAATGCACCAATATATACTATCTTAATTTAGGTAGTTAACGAAACTTTTACTACAATTAACGAATAATGTAGTATTTGTTGGTAACTAATGGCTCAAATATGATTTTCTAAGCTAAACTTAAAATAAAAATAATGAAATAAAACTCTCGCTAGATTTGAACTGTATTCTCGCGAGTGATTCCTCTGGCTTGTACCAACTAAACAAGGGCACCCCTACGCTTCTTATGGGTGCACTGTTGATTATATTCTACTTTGTGCCAGTTTCTCAGGATAGATATACATATATACACATGATTTTTTTTTGAAGTTAACAGATGCACGTGCACCCCTATCAAATCATGTGAGTTCGCCTCTGCTTGATACCCAGTGACTCTAAATACTAGATCCGCCTCTGCCTCCCCACATTCGCCCCACCCCATTGCCATCCCTAGGGACCTATGTAATAAATAGAATTTAATTGGAAGTTTGTAGCTATAGCAATCAAGGTCCCCTGATCTTCTTAAAATATCTCAGAAAATTGTAAACTTTGTTTGGTAGAAAACGTTAGTCACTAAATCAAAACATTTGTATTACGTAGAAAACCATCTTAGGTGTTTTAATAACTAAATCAAAATATTTTTATTACCTAGAAAATCAGCTTAGGTGTTTTTAATTAGTATATATATATATATATAAACTAAAGCATTTTAGTTAATGACTATCAAAAACACAAATTATTCACTTAAAATCTCATAAATATTTCAAAAAACTGTTTCCATTGTCATCGCACTAAATCTTACGAGCCTTCGAACATAGGTGAAGCTCTCACCTTCTACAAAACTTTTTGTTCTTTGAGCTGTTGCTAGCAGTTCTACAAAAGTAAGATATTTTCTTAGGAAAATCTTGACAGTTTTTGTCCAATAATCATATATAAGATTATTGAGAATTTAGTAGTTAATATTCTTTTGGGATGGTTGGAAATTTTCGAGAGAAAAACTACTAATAGCCTTGCAAAGGCTATAAAAATCAAGATATTTCCATCACCGATAATAATTTAAAACACCTTGAGTGTGTGGTATTCTTGAGGCACGTGTTGAATTGGAGGAGGGATGGCTAGCTACTAGTAATTAAAGACTTGAAAATGATATGTTTAGTACAGAGTTACAGACAATGATGGAAGAAAAGAGAAAGTGAAAGAAAATGACACAAGAAAAGAAAATGAGAGCAAAAAAATGACTAAAGAAAATAGAAAAATGAAAGAGAGAGAAAATGATGGAAGAAAAGAGAAGGAAAATGATGTAAGAAAAGAAAAGGCAAAAAGGTCTGATGGACCCTTATACTTGTATGCATTTGTATTATGGATTCTTCTATTTAACTTGTTATCAACTGGACCCTTAAACTCAATAATATTCAATATACTAAATCTCTCTGACCATTGACCATGCTTATGTGACATTAAGATGGTTGAGTTGGCTAGAGAGGGTGAATACACGCGTGTTAAGGCAAGTGTACTCCATATTTAAAATTAAAAAATATTAAAATTATAAAAGAATAAAATTATTAATTTAAAAATAAAAAAATAAAAACCCTTCTTCTTCACCCCACCCACCTACTTTTTCAGACATCCCCATCCTTGCTCAACCCTTTTTTTTCTTTCATTTTCTTTAGATGATCTATACGTCGGAGGTGGCAAGGAGTCCCATGGCATGCTGGTTCGACGGAGGCGGCAAGGAGTCTCCTGTTGGTTCGAGGGAGGTGGCGATGATAGGAGGTCCTTAGTGTTTTGCAGGGGATCACTGGTGGTGCAGAGAAAGAAAGACAGTGAAGGGGAGAACGAGGCAGCTGAGCGGCTAGGAGCTGGTCACAACGGGTGAAGAGGTTTGGCCGCCGGAGTTATGGTGCGAGGGAGGCAGCGATGATAGGAGGTCCTTGGTGTTTTGCAGGGGATCACTGGTGGTGCAGAGAAAGAAAGACAGTGAAGGGGAGAACGAGGCAGCTGAGCGGCTAGGAGCTGGTCACAATGGGTGAAGAGGTTTGGCCGCCAGAGTTATGGTGAGACGACTTAGATTTGTTGAGGTTGGAGAAGAATGAAAGGAAAATGTAAAAGGTGATCGACGGAGATAGAGACGTGTGAGGGAAAAAGTATTTGTGGTCTTGCCGGCAAGAGGAGTGGTGGTTGTGGCAGCTTTCTCCAGTGGATTTTTGTCATTTCACGACTGGATCGAGTAGAAGACAAGTGGAGACCCAAAATTTACTTTAAAGAATAAATTAATATATTTTTTAAATAGTTAATACATATAATTATGACGTGACATTAATTTAAGTGACATGGAATTGACATGTCATCTATTCAAGGGAGAGTGAGCTATACACATGGTAAGAGGGGTTTAACAGTCATTTTTTGATTGAGTTTAGGGGTTTAGTTGATAAAGGGTTAAGTAGAAAGATTCATAATACAAACACATACAAGTACAAGGATCCACCAGACCCTTTTGTCAAAAGAAAATGAGAGAAAAAATGTCTGAAGAAATGAAAAGAATGAAAGAGAGAAAATAGGGAAGTGCTAAATGGCCAGAAAATTTGGCCAGAATTTAGCCAGATAATTAAAAAAACTATAATATTTTTTTAATTTTAAAATAAACTAATATTTTTCCATTTTTTAGTTTAAAAGTATTAAAGGTAAAAGGGTAAAAATGTTTTAAAAGGTAAAATAACATAGATAAAATATTATTCTGGCCGAAAAGATTTTTCCGAGAAAATTCCGAAAAAATAATAGAATAAAAGAGAAAGAGAGAATGAAAATGTATTAATGGAAGAGAGAGAATATAAAAAGAAAAGAGGAAACAAATTGGACAATTAATGGAAGAGATAAATATAAAGAGAAAATGTGTTTTGCTATTAATCAGGAAAAGATCAAAATTGTCCATTATGTTTGAATTAAGAATCAAACTAATCCTTGTGTTTTAACATGGAGCACTAATAGTCCTCCATATTTCAACAATTGGTACACTTTTGATACCCTTACTAACAACAGTCTAAATTCTAACGAAACTTCTCTTTTGCACGTGAAAAAGGTTTCCACCATTGCCAAAAAATCTTCCATAGTAGCTATCAATAATTTCATAACTTCTATTTCTCTGTGAAACAAATAAAATCAAAATAAAAAGACTTTGGAGAACTGTGCCAGAACAGTTTCTTTTCTTTTTGGTGTAGTTTCTATGAGAAACTGGTGCTTTTTTGGTGCAATTTTAGTGTTGTTTTATTGCGAATATGGAGCTGCTGTTTTGGTGCAATTTCGGGGTCTGTTTTTGGAGCTT